TGGGCGCAGTGTCCGTGGTTCTTGGCACTGTGCTATCCGACACAGACGTCCGTTACAACGAGAACTTTGTAGATTGTAATTCCCTGTCTCGCTCTGTCTACCTACTTTATCAAATCTACACATACTCGCCCATAAATACATACAAGTAATATACACAATCGCGTATTCTTTATAATTTCTCCATCTTATAATGCAGACGAAATATTTATCGTTCTAAAGGATGTTCTGTATGATTAGAAATGTTTCTTAATGCCGTGTAGAACTACTTTAAGTTTGTATAAAAAAAGTTAATTATTTTAATAATGTAAAATAAAATTTCTAAAATTGTTCAAAATGCTTTTATAACCGAAGAAAAAATAGATTGTAAATAACGTTTCTATTGGATTTCTATAAATGCCTTATTTTCTGAAAAATCACGCTGATTGCAGTTTATTCTAGACCCAAGAATCAGGGGCAATAATTGATTGGGACAATACCGTTCTGATTTCCGAAATCGTGTATTGATTTTTATTGAATTTTTTACCGAATCCTATATATTTGGAAAGACGTTCATCTTCACAATAATAAATGTTACCGATATCTTGTAATAAATATCAAAATCTAAATATTTTTTTCACAGTTAAAATGCCTAATATTTCTGAATTTGTTCCTTTCTCACGTTTAGAAAATGTACCATCTTAAATCCGATTGAGGAAACCGATTGTTTTAGCACCACATCAATACAAAGCGGCACGTGCAAGAGCCATCAATAGTAATCCATTAGGGTGAAAAGTTAAAGACTACAAGCACAGTGCGAGTGAATCAACGAATTAACCGGTCGAAATATGGTGCACGCACTCGAGATAGGCGCACAAATCAAGATAATGGCGGATATTTCACGGCAATGTTAACCGGTGTCTGACTCGCACAGGTCCTATGGGATTTCGAACGTATGCGTCGTCTGTATCGATAGAGAGATGAGTCGACTATCCGTCTTTATTTGTCTTGTTTCTATTGCGTGTTTCCTGCGCTTTCTCGTCAATTTTTAAAAGTTCTCGCGAAAAGTGATACGGAAAATTAGAGAAAAAAGTAGTATCATGTCCCAAAAGGGATGGACATCCATAAAATGACAAATTTCGAACAAAGAGGGTAGTAAGAAGAAGATTGAAACTGTATCTCAAAAGGGACCACATCTAGAAAAGAAGAACCTTTCTTTTTCGTCTCGCTTCTGCAACACGTGACGCAAAATCGATGGAGGGTTCTAAGAGGACGTAAGCTTCATTAACGTGAAAACTCATTAGCGCGAGCACCAGTAAACAGACGGATACACAGAGGAGAAAGAGCTGTAATCAATGTTGCGTAATATAAATTTTTAATAGTTTTAATTGTAAATCGGTTGTCGATAGTAAACGTTTCATTAATGTAATTACTGTGTGGAACAATTTTTCCGCCGTATTTTAATCTCGTGGTTTCATTATCGTCTCGTATGTACCAGAAATACTAGAAAAAGCACGATTTAGTGTTGTGCATACTTTTAATTTACAAGATAAAAGAGAAATGTTTTACTCTCAGTCCATTTTTGTAAAAAAAAACCTGTAATAAATAAAATTATCTATTTTTGAACTTTGTTTTATGTTTTACAGTTACGACCATATATCTGCTACTTTAATTTAGAGCAAAAACTTTTCTCCGTCTACTTACACGAGCGAGTTTCTACTCGGTAAAATAGTTACGCTTTTATACATGAACATGGAAAAATAACTGTCGCGGAAAAGTAATTGTTGCAACATTGACAGACGTTCTTTGAAATCAGTGTTGACGTTTGAGGTCTCGTATCTTCATTGACGTGCGGATTTCCTTTAATGTCATTCAAAGAATCGGTATTAATACACGGAATACACGTGTGCAAAGAATCGATATTAATACACGGTGTTCCCGAGCTAACAATTACCTATAGCTAAGCATCTTTGATAAATTCGGAGTCAGTTGTCTTTGAAAATATCAAAAGACCAATCATTTTTAATAATTCACAAGCCCACACAGCATACATATCCAAAAGACGTATCCAGAAGACATCACGAAGATATCTTTGAGAAATACGATATCTTCGGGATGTTTCCCGAACGTCCTTTGGATATGTGCTGTGTGGGAGTGATTGATAACGAAGAACTTTTCGAGAACCACAATAAATCTTGAAGATGTAAACAAATAGTAAGTAACCCTCTATATTTCGCATATTTTCTTTCAAACAAACTTTATCAAATTATCACAATAATATTTAATATTGAAAACAGGAATTTTGGAATAGATTATAATTTTTCATTAAGGAACAATCAACTCCGTATCGCTCAAAGATTAGATGAAAGGTGAATCACTAGATCTGGAACACGTTGTACGTCGGAAGTGTGGAGGCTGCAAGTACATGTTACCCGGGTATATTCAATAGAATGATATACATCGGTGTACCATGTATTGTATGCCTGCCTAGATAATGAGGTATCACGACCGGTTCAATATACAACTGCTATTTATACCCAATCCACAGATTTCAATTCTGATCAAAGAGAAGCCTTATTTCTACCAAATTGATACCGGAATGTACAAAAACAAATTCGTAATCGACTTTTTTTTAATAAAAAAAGAAAAATATTAAGAAAAATTATCATTTCTACTAGTTTTCCGACATTATATATCTTCAAAATTTATTTAGATTATAACATAATCATCCGTTTTTCTAAAAAAACTCATTTTGCTATTATTTATAATTCTATCATTTCAAATTCAAATTATTATTTATAATTTAAACCTTATGTGAATTTTCATTAAGCTTAAAATTTTTCTATGAAATATTCTCCAAATTTAATACACAAATAATTGCGTTTCTGTGATTTCTACTTAATCCGTTTAATATTGAAAAAATGTTTACTATTCAAAACGAGATTATCGCTTACGAGGGTAGAAAAACTTATTGCCTTCTCTCATAAATCCATTTGGGATTCCTTCCGTGCAAAAGGTAGCCCCAAGATACATCAAGGATTTCGTCTTGAATCTTACATGCGTTCAGGGCACGCGGCTCCCCGCTTCGATAATATAAACAGAACTCGCTTTCAGCGAGAGCATACGCAGTAAAAGAAAATACAACGAGATCAGTTTGCACTAGTCATAAAAACAGATAAGACAAAAGCCAATTTTTTCGGCACTCTCAGACAAAATTAGAATTAAAAATTCTAACATTGCACAAATATTCACTAAATTACAATTTATTTTAAACACCTTTCAAGGTGTTTAAACCTTTCAACATCGCTCAAGAAACGATTTATTAGACATGAAATTTTAAACTACATATTTTCAAATACGCTTTATCTAAAATGCATTATTTTAAGATAAAAATAATGCGGAATAAAAAAGCTCAAAATTATCTACATCCAACAATTGTTGGTTCGTGAACAGTTTTCCTTCTGTCAATACATCATGCTCTGTCGAACTTCTGCAATAACAAAAACGAAAAGTTTTTATCCGTGAAATCTCTCCCGCGCGACGCAACTGTAAAAAATGTTTGGAAAGGGATAATATCATCCGGTCTAACCGCGCGCTACGATACGGGAACATTTCCGCGATACGGTTTGCCGATCCGTCGTTTAGCTCCCGATCCTTTTTGCTACCGGTGAGAAATAAAACCGACCGTTATGCAACGAGTGGCGAGCGGACAGTAGGGTGGGTGGTATGTATTGTGGAAAAGTTCGTAAAAAAAAAACCGTCACTGATATTACGATGTGTCCGCCGAGGCGGACGTATAATTTCCGGCCTGACGTTGAATCCTCGTCAACGTATACTCCATACACGTTCATTCCGCTGTCGCCGTGTGTCCTGCCGTCTCTTGGGCAGTTTGTTTGCGTTAAACCACGTATACACCTAACGAATAAACGAACCTGGTCATATCATGGAAACATTGAACCGGTGCGAGCCGAGAACCGAAAAGGATCAGAATTTTCATCTTGATTCGTAGCAAAATATAATTTCAATAACTTAGATGTCGCAATTGTGAAATTAGTTCATATAGGATTTAAAAAATGTAAAATGTCCTTTCTTAGAAAGAAATACTTAAGAATGATTTTTCTAAATTTTAATTTTTTCAACTCTTTCTCTCTTCTAAACACACCTTATTTATATGTATATATTAATATTAAAAAAACTATTGACAAAATATAAAACACAAGATGTTCAAAATGTATCTGAGTTAGTTTTTACATTTGTCATTATTTAATGCGCAAAAGAGCCTGAACAGAGCGTGCGGCAGAATGCATTTTTTTTTTTCAAAATGATATTAAGCGTTGTCTGTGAGAGTTTGTTTCGCTAAATGATCGATGTAGTGGGTTTTGAAGTGCCAAGAACAGGGACCTGAACAATGTAATGCCTCTATGTGCCTTATCTGCGGTGACAGCGTTAAATCGGCGCGCGTGGCCGTGCATACTAAATCCAGACGGCGAGATATATGTTTCGGTTCCCTGTACCACGTACTTGGGTCTCGCGTAATTTGTTTAACGTATGCCGCGCGTATCAGATAAAATTCTCGACATGGACGAGAGATTCGTTAACTATTCCGACCGACCCTTGACGGCTAATACAAGGCGATTAAACGAGATAAACGATATGCTTCTTATCTTCTCGTTCAACAAGCACGCTCAAACAATTCGAATTGTTTCGACAGCATTTTTTGACACTGTTTAGAGAAACTGTGAGATAACAATTAATTCTTCAGCTGCGAACATCATATGTATATGTGCAATTAAATTCGAGACCTTTGTAATAAAAATTTTGAGAAAGCGACCAATTAAATTTTTCGCAATTAAATTATATAAAATATTATTTTATGCTAATTAGTATTAAAAGAAATAAAATTGAGCAATATGTCGTAAAAAATTTACAATATACATTTCTATTTTATTTATAAGTTGAGAAAAATTTCTTTGTACTTGCAGCTAAAAAGTAAAATCTCACAAAAAGACGAGTCTCAAACTTACCTTTTCTCGGAGCATATCCCTCACTCTGGTTGCCTGACTCCTGCTCCTGTGCAGCTCCAGTTGCAGCTCCAGACATCTCTCCTGCCAGTTGAGCTCCTCCACCGTCGTCGTGTATCCATCGAAGCTCTTGGAAGTACTGTAACTTGGCCTGATGTCTAGTTTATCTCTCTTCACGTCGACGCTGCCAGCAGCGGTTCTCGGATCGACAAACAACCTGCCCGGTTCGTACAATCGCGGTGCCTGCGGTTGTTCCGGCGGTTGCCTGCTCGAAAACGAAAACGCTCTCTCAAAGTGGCCTCTACCGCTGGAGGGTCCTGGGTCATAGTTCGACCTTCCCCTGCAGAGCGGGCCGCCGGGATCTTTTCCGACGTCGTAAACCAAGTCCGACTGAACCGGACTTACAAACGTCCTCTTGTCCGCGTACTCCACGTGACCGCTCGACTCGGACGTAAAATCGTACGGGCTACACTTGGGCTTGTCGCGCAGCTCGATGTAGCCGGCGCTTCTAGCGCTCTCGGCGAAGCTCTTGTCTTTGTGGAAGAACAGATTCGACACGTTGACGTAGGGCGAGTCTCTCGCGTGCACCACCGAGGACGGCACACCGCTGTCGGTGCTACTTCCCGCGTTGTTGTTGTTATTGTTGTTATTGATATTAGCGGAGGTGCTAGTCGAGGTACTGGCGGTGCTGATGGCGGTGGTAGCGGCGGAAGCATGCCTAGGCCGTGGCGGTGGCGTGGGTGCCTGTCGAAATTGTCGCGGCCACAATCGCGGACTATCGGGACCGGAGCTGGAGCCGCTACCCGCTGCAGTGCCGCTCGGGCTTGCTCGAGACGACGTTGGAACGTTGCCGGCGACGGCTGGGCCTGACTGACCCGCGGCAGCAGTGGACCCGCTGCTCGCATCGTGCACGCGCGCGCCCAGCCGTGGGCTGCACGGTGCCGAGTTGGAGCCGAAGTCGCTGGCGAGTCGCGTGATCGGATCGAGAATCTGCGAGAGGCGGCGTGTCGACGACGAGCCGCGTATCTCGTCCATTGTCCTTCGCTCGTCGCGATGCGTCGTCGTTGCTCGTCGTCTTTATTACGACACCTTTTTCTGCCCGCCCACTTCCTCTTCCTGCCGAAAGATCCTCAGTGCATTTGGCAGCTTCTTCCCACCTCGGGTTTTCGTGTTCTTCCTGCGGGAATTCGTCTCAATATCGGCGCTCAAGGAGCAGGGGCTGCTCGTCCTTGCCATCTTGTTACCTCACACGCTCGTACGGTCATCGTCAATCGCGACATCGGCCTTGCGCTGTGACCTGTGCAAAAGGGAGATTCCCTTTTTGAGAAATATTATGGGATTCTGCGGTGATAAAATAGGAAGGGACGACTATATCGTAAAAACGGTTCGATCGAACGATGGGAACATTTATTTTTTTTATGTGAATCGCTGATAGAAGGTATTGCGGTTTTTATCGTGTAAAATTTGTGATCTGGGTCTTTCAATGCCTTGTATAAATTATAACGCTATATAGCTTTCTACATTATAGTTGTATAGTATAGTTATATAAAATTTAATTTAATCAATTAATTTTACTTAATGATGTAACAGTTTGCAAAATTTAATTTAAAAAACATAGAAAAACTTGCAGTATCGCTTCGTGAATATTTTATTCTCTCAAGTTATAGCGCGCTCAAAGTCGTCTATCGCCGAGAGTTTCCGACGTTTCAACGACAGAGGCTCAAGAGCACAAGAAAAGTGCGACGCGGAAAGATGGCACGCAGGGCTACAAAGTTTATTTTAAGGTCGACGTTAAAAGGAGCCAAATGAAAAACCGGATGGAGGGAGGGAGTGAGTGCAACCCGTCCGGTTCTGCAATTACTACGGACGACGAGTCGGGCTGTGAAAAATTCCAACCTTTTGCGAGCCGCCGCAGGAAGTAGATGACGAGCATGAATAGAGGATTTAATGCAAAAAGGACTGCGATCGTCAAAAATAAAAATCTCAAAAATAGCTACGTTTTAAAATAATCTCCATTTAATGAAACAAAAAAAATTTTATCATCTCATATAGTATACAAAGTATACTAATTTTGAAAAATTAAAAGAAAACTTGCTCAAAAAACCGTGCTGGTCCTTTCACCGTAGAATTCATTTCAGAAGATTAATTCCGTAAGACGTAAAGCAATTACAAATGCTAACTTTTTTTCCGCGAATTATGGCGTGCCACTCGCGATGTAACATGAGTCGTGACTCGTGAGTCATGACATATGACATATATGTGACACGCTGAGAATTAGCTTTAAACGGTCGCGAGGTCGTCCACCACCTCTCGCGAACTTGTCGTTGATTTGTCGGACGATCTCTTTACGTGATTTATATCTATGTGGTTTTTGGCAGAACAAACATTTCCAACCAGATTTATAAAGTAAAAAAAATGTTTACGTTTACCCTTTACGTTTAAAGGATATTAAAAGTTCAATCTCGTCAAAATAAAGCTAACGATCAATATAAGATTGTACTTTTTGGCTAATTTAAAGATTTTTCCACAGCAAAAACATATAAAGACGTTCTTTTTGTAATTACGAAGGAATTAAAAACAAGCAATTTTTGTAAACTAAGCTTTAAAGATACAAGAAAATATATTAGTTTCAAGAATATTGAAAATTAAAAACTGGGAACGAATAATGCTGTACATTTGACATTTTCCCTGAGGAAAAGTCAAACTATCCATATAAACGAAGGACAGGATACCCTGCATGCAAGCAGTGCTCGACGATCCCCCATGGTGTCCATGAATAAATTTCAAATTAACTTTCGAACGATTTCCGCGTTATACGAGGCGCGACGGAAGCCCTCCGCAATCTCAGAGGTTCTTACGAGGAGACACCCTTTATATCACCAAGGGCTCACTTGCATACTCTCTAAGTAAAGCCTCGTCCGAGATTACGAGGAAGACTTTCATCGACGGCGCTGATCATAAAAGTATCGTGGCATTCAAAAAAATCCGCTTCCATGAAATAGCGATGACTTACAAGAATGGCTACGATAAAATAACGCAATGAAGAAAAGAGTAGACATAAAAGTAAATTGATAGATGTAGCAGCGTTCCAATATCAATTACGCTTTTATGTTTCCAAAATATTGACAGTAATATGTTTTTCTATTTTTCAGTTATAATTGAAAGAAAACACGATATTTGGAATTTAATTATAAAATCTTAATTTTCATAATTCTAATTAACATTAAGTAAATCATCTATTAATTAAAAGAGCAAACGTCTTGTGACGCAGTATAGTTCTTCGAAAGAAAATTGCACAAAGTTATGGGACGATATTTCGCATAACTGCTTATTAAGATAAAAGCTTTTATCGGCGATTAACATACATAGTGAACTTCCATATTTGAAAAATAAGAAATATACGAGAATACATTACTCGCTGCAATGAAATGGAAATATCTATCATTATGAATGCGTGCGCGTTCAATCCTAATTTAAATTATATAATTTAATAGAAAATCGAATAGGAAATTATCCTAATAACTAATAAACTAATTAACGTAATTTAATTACCTTAAATTATCTAAATACTCGTTTTCATGTAATTGCGTTGCGTTGTTATTATTGGCGAATAATAGGAAAAATTTTGCGCGGCTCTGTTATAACTATAACGATATTCAATTGCCGTTGTTAAAATGCTGTTTTGTCATTGCGTAACTAGCGACGGTCACGAAGCAAGGTAAACCGGCAGACTGGCCAGCTTCGAGCCCACTGTTCGCATTTTGCATAAATTACGCGTTCTTCTATCCGACTGATCGCGTGTCCGAGCAACGTTATTGTCGAAATAACGCTGCCGCGAGGCGAGTTGCCGCTGCAGGCGCGGCAAAACAAATAGACCGGCGGCACGTGAAACGTATGTACAAGAGACGTTCCCACGAGCGAGAATGTTCCGCCGATTGCGCCCGCGACAAATTTCGGTTTGCTCGCATTTGTGCTCCCCTTTGCCCCTCCGGACAATCGAGACCAGTGTAGCATTGATATCTTTACGTAGGTGAAATTAATATCGTTGCACATCAATTGTACATGAAATTAATATCATTGCTAGAATATTCACGAATATTGCGATCGAATGGTTGCATGTAAAGTGTTTTGAAAGTTTCAACTTTATGAAATATTTTACAAACGTTTTTTACAAACGTTTTTTTTTGACAATCGAGTTTTACGAAACTTAGAAAATTGAGAAATTATATAATCAGTCTATGATTTTAAGATAGAATATGATATTATGAAAACAGTACATAGTATATATTTACGTACTTAAAACAGATGAAAATCAAAATAAATATCAGTATAAAAGTTAAAATAATCATATAGATTGCTAATAAAAAAATAATTTCGTACTTTCAAAATTATCCTCTAGATTGAAATATGTTTTTGTTTTCTTTCTTTAAAATATCAACAAATAATTCTTTCATTTAAATTATGCAAAGTTCAAAACATTACAAGTGCCTAATGCAACAGAAAATTTTTGCGACATCGCACTTCGAACATGATAAATGCTGCGATTGCATGTTCGTTGCTAAACAATTGCGAGTTGTCACGGTAATTTTTATCGTAGATCCGCACCCATCGTTCTCGACATTAACGTTTACCAAAATCAGCTGTTGTAAAAAGGCTTCAACTGGACCGTAAAAGATTCACGATAATCAGCGCAAAAACCAGCGTCACGGCACCGGCGACGTGACGTCGATACGACGCGCGGCGGCGCGACGCGACACGTTCGATTCCGTAACCGCTCGTAAATTTCTCGCATAGACATTCGTTAAACGAAACCCGAGAAGTTTGTCATATAAAAGAAAGAGAGATGAGAGTGGACGAAAGAGAAAACACGTCTTCTGTGCGCGTGAAGAGCGGACAAAAGATAAATTCGAGACCGATGACCTTTTCCCCAAGGAAGAGAAGACTCGGGAGAAGGAGGCAAATGGGAGGAGAGGAGAGAAAAGATCAAAGAAGAGAGAATGAGAGAGAGAGAGAGAGAGAGAGAGAAAGAGACAGAAAATAAAAACGAGACAAAGTGAAGAAAAAGCGTTTGTTAAGATGCCGTTAGACGATTGAACGATCGGAGTCCGTTTGAACAATTCGTTCTTGGAAAATAACACGCTTCGGGAATCACCTGGTGCGGTCGATCGGTGCTAGTTTTCAAACTCGTTTTCCTCTCGTCGTCGCCGTGCCTTCGCTCTTACGCTCTCTCCGTATTCCCGTCGCTCCGCGTGGACCTCGTCGTCCCCACTCCCTTTTCACCCTCCGCACGACTGACCGCACGACGAACAAGCAAGCCAGCTTTT